GTGCAATGGCGCAATCTCGGCTCACCGCAACCTCCGCCTCCTGGGTTCAGGCAATTCTCCTGCCTCAGCCTCCTGAGTAGCTGGGATTACAGGCATGCGCCACCATGCCCAGCTGATTTTTTGTATTTTTAGTAGAGACAGGGTTTCACTATGTTAACCAGGATGGTCTCGATCTCTTGACCTCGTGATCCACCCGCCTCGGCCTCCCAAAGTACTGGGATTACAGGCGTGAGCCACCGCGCCCAGCCATGTTTAGCTTTTATAAATAAAATGGATTCTGTAGTTTTAGGATAATTTAAATACACATTAGATACCAGAGACTGAAGATATCAGAAAATAACCTTTTATACAAAAAGGGTTTCTCAAAGAAGGTGTTCAAAATTTACATATGATTATCAATTTGTGACAGACCTCAGAGACATGCAAAACAGCATCCTTGTCTCAGCAACAAGAACTCTGTTTCAAACTTTCAAGCGTCACCAAAATCTTAACTATTGATGCTAAAGGTATTGCTAATTTCAAATTGTTTAGGGACAACAGAATACAATCTAATACTAAGAGAAAACCCAATCAAATTCTATGGGAAACTATGTTCTTGATTTTAAGTACTTTTTTAAACATAGCAGGTAATAAGTGTTAAGAATATTTCTCAAAAACTCAAGTTCTAACAAATTCCCTCTTTTAAATTTCCCAGATATCCTTTTCATAAAATTCACTTTTTATTCCCTGCTTCAAATCCCTGAATATTATGACATGAGCACTGTATGAGAGAAAAGAGTCTCAAGATTTTTATCTTACCTGTTTCTAAATCTCCTCTGGGCCTGTGGAACTCAGTTATGTCACCTAGATTACAATGATCTCAACCCTGAAGATCCTGAGGAAGATTGCACAACATCCCACAAGCATTTTTCTTACTGCCATAGTTTGTATTCAAAAATGGCAGAAACAGAGCTAAAATATTGATTTGTTTTTTGTCTGTCCAATCCATATCCCTTCGCCGTTTTCAAAAATTCAAATCGTGCTTTAAACACCATCCGAAGTACAGCCTATAGGTAACGCTCCTAGATTACTATGAAACTCCTGAGAAGGGTGAAAGCCAAAGTACCACGAGTGCCAAACAGAAATGAAGAATCTCACAGGAAAGCAGAATTTTTTAAAAAAAACGTGTCTGTAAGAGAATGGTGCCTTGATACAGAAACTTAAACTGTGATGAGTTCTCCAAAGGTCTGTGAGAAAAAAAGGACAGGTGAGAAAAAGAGTTAAGAGGTGGTGACAGGGAAAAGGGCACACAGGCACTTCTCAACTGCAGAGATGGGAGAGCCCCGGAGGTTGGCCACCTCCCTTCTCATCCGATGGTTGATCGCATCCCCTCTACATATCCCAGACTAGGATCGCCCAGCCTGTCCTTATTTTAGAAGTCACCTCTCCCACCCCCTTCTCCCAATGCCCCCTTTCAAGCACGATGTCACCCACCTCCAAGGACCGTGCCCAGGAAGATGCATTTCTTTTTGTGACGTTTCAGAAAATTCCATACAGATCTCAGCATCTTTAGGCCTTAGGGCTGTGTGGGCTGACTAGGGGCGAGGGGCTGCTTCACCGGGAAACTGTTTCTTCGTCACCTGGCCCGAACGACCGGGCAAGAGCGCCGTCGTCCCGCTCTGTGGTCTACCGAAATCACAAACTTGACTTTCCGCTGAGCCTGTCACCGGAGCGGGAAGGGGGCGTGGACTCCAGCAAAGCAGCTGCGCTTTCTGCCGCTGCCGCCGCGCCGCCGCCTCCGCTCACTGGTCCGACACGCCCAGGTCCGTTCAGAAATCGCTCCCGGGTGTCTTGCCATTCGACTCCCCCGGAAACGGGAGCCCGCGTCCGCCGCGTTCCGCTGCCCGCGCTCCTCCTCCGCCGCGGCCTCTGGCGCTGAGTGGCGGCAGGGTATGGAGGCGAAGGCGGCGCCCATGCCAACTACAGACGGCGCGTGCTCGGTGTCGGCAGAGGAGACCGAAAAGTGGATGGAAGAAGCGATGCACATGGTGAGGAGTCCGGGAGGTGGATGATGCGGGTGGGAACTTTCTCCAGCCCTCAACCTCACCCCGGCTTTTGAGCAAACGTTGCGGGAGCACTTTCTCGTCACCATAATTTTTTATGGCAGTCAGATGTTCTGGGTGAACCACTGGCTTTACTGCCTCGAAACTTTCTGTAGCCCATTCTCACAGTGGCTCTGGGCGAAGGAAGGGGAGGAAATAAATTATTTGTTTCATTGGGGTGGTGTATGCTGCAGACTTATTCTATCGCTGGCTGGCATGTGCTGCCTCTCTTTCCTTTCTGTGGTCACACACTCTCAAATCTACAAAGTCACATTGTTTGAGGTTTTGGCCCTTGGGACATGTCTAGTAGAAGAAAGGAAACTGAGAACGTTCCTGGTAGAAAGCAGTGTGGAAACAAGTCCCTGTACAGTCGCCGTCTCGCATTCATTCATTCTTTTCCTCTGCCCTTTTACTTCCTTCCCTTACTCCCTTGAGGACTTTGGAGTAAAGGGGGCTCGCAGTAGTTGGGTGTGTGCTAGCGAGCTTCTTAACTGGGATCAAAGTTTGTTTGTAAATATATGTATTTACATTTTAATAACTGTACTTACAGCCACATAATGACCTGTCCGTAAAGGTCATTATCCTGGAGCATTAATCTGCTTACCTTACCACTATTATCCCATCCAAGTACTAAGCAGGTCTGACCCCTGGGCGCCTTCAGGGTGGTATGGCCGTAGATAACACTGTTCTCTATGTAGATTTCTTGGCTAAAGACTTTTGCTACCTTTTAGGTGACCTTGGGCTAGCACATGTAAATACATTTATGTACGTTTACAAACAAACTTTCATCCCAGTTAAGAAGCTAGCTCACTAGCACTTTTCAGCTCCATTATAGTCTTATAGGACCATATATACTGCATTATAATATAGAATTATAATGGAGCTGAAAACTTCCTATGGCCTAGTGACATGTAGCCGTCCTAACATTGTAGCACAATTACTTTATTTTTAAACAAATTTAGTGTAGCCTAAATATACAGTGTTTAACAGTAATGTCTTAGGCCTTCACATTCACTCACCATTAACTCACTGACTAATCCACAGCAACTTTCAGTCAGTCCTTCAAGCTCCATTCATGCTAAGTGCCCTATACAGGTATACTATCCATTTTTCATCATTTATACTACGTTTTTACTGTACCTTCTCTATGTTTAGATACATAACTACTTACTGTTGTGTTACAACATTAAGTTGTAATGGCTGCAGTATTCAGGACAGAAAAACATGTTGCATTGGTTTGTAGCCCAGGAGCAATAGGCTATATCGTAGAACCTTTAACATCATATTCTGTGATGTTCTTTTAAACTTGCTTCTCATACTTTTTAAGGTGACCTGCAGTGAAAAACCGATTTCATATTACAATCCAGGAAATGAACATATGTGTATAACTTAAATAAAAGTTTCACAGAAGAGTTCTTACCCTTCTTATGTATGTTCTTCTGGTATTTCTATTTTACTACATGATTTTAAAATGATGGTCATGATTCACTAACATGACATCATGGCCCATTCTTTAAGCCTACTTGCAAATTTATTTCTTCCATTAAACTTCAAGATGCATAACCTTCTATCTGACATGAGAAATTGCTGGGCATGGTGACACACATCTGTAGTCTAAGCTACTTAGGAGGCTAAGGCTGGAGGATAGCTTGAGCCCAGAAGTTTGAGACCAGCCTGGGCAACATAGCAAGACCCCATCTCAAAAAGAAAATTAATGTTCACATATATATTTTAAAGATTAATTTGTAATATGGGTTTATTTACCCTGAACTCCTTTTATGTTACTAAATTTTCCAAGTTAGAGACAAGTTTTTATGTGATATCAAAATTTTACTTTTTTCCCCAGATCATTTCAGTAATATCATGTGCTAGTCTGTTTCTTAACAGTGATGATAATAAAATAATAATGATGCATGAAGGCTAAAATATCATAAAGTAAGCTGCATTTGTATCCTTTGATGGATGAGAGATTTAGAAAATAGGTGATGCCTGAATGTAGGGAAGTCAGAATTCATGGTCCCTTCTATGTTCATGAACTCTCCTAAAGGTGTTCATGTCTACACTTTACTTAGATGACATTTTTAGAGCTGCTGTCATAGTAGTTTCAAAAACAGCTAAGTTTAGGGAGTCATTGAGTGAGTCTTTTCACTTTGTATATTGGAATTGTGTTTTCTTTCCATCCTTACATTTTAGATCTTGATTTCCCTTTAAGGGTCTTTCAGTCCTAATATCTTGGAGCATTCATCTGCCCACCTCAGCACTGTTCTCCCAGCCGAGTACTAACCAGACCTGACCCTGCTTTTCTTCCAAGATCAGATGATATTGGGTGCTTGGAGGGTGGTATGGCAGTAGACAGTGCTATTCTCTATGTAGACTTCTGGGCTAAACACTTTTGTTATCTTCTTGGGTGGCCTTGGGCAAATCAGTTTATCCCCCTAAGGTTTTGCTTTCTACTCTATAAAATAAATTGGTAGAACTTCAAAGAATTTCTAGACCCCTCTAGCTTTGACATGTTTGTCTCTTAATTGTATTATAAACACCTAGGGGTCTGATTCCATAGTTTACCTCCTCCAACACAGGATTAAGGGGGGCAGCTACTTCTTGGATTTTGGCATGTACATGTTTCTTCAAGGTCTTAAAGGAAAAAAAAGTACTTGTCATAAATCTGGTGCTTTATTTTCAACCATCAGCTATCCCCAACCAAAGGTACTCTTTGATTATACTCTTACATTATTTAGAAATATCACTTCTTTTGAGAACAGATTTAAATTAGACCAAAGGCATAACTAATAATCAAAGCTGGAAATGGCAAGTTAATCTCTGATTAGTTTGTACTGAAATTTGAAAGTGAAATGACCACACAGACTGGAATGTGATAACTGTTCACTGTAATCTCAAAGTCCTGGGCTCAAGCAATCCTTGCACCTCAGCCTCCCCAGTAGCTAGTACTACAGGTGTGTGCCGCCACACCTGACTAATTGTTTAACTTATTGTAAACATAGATGCTCACTGTGTAGCCTTGGCTTGTCTTCAACTCCTGGCCTCAAGCAGTCTTCCCATTCTAGCCTTTCAGAGTGCTGGGATTATAGGTGTGAGCCACCATGCCTGGCCTAGATATAATGTTACATATCACACATAATTAAACAAGCAGAGAATATAAATTATTTTATACTATACATATAGCTTTAGAGGTTAGCTATGTTCAAATGGCTACTGACTAGCAAACTAACCTGGACAAGCTGTTAATTTTTTGGCTTCAGTGTTCTCTTCTGTAAATTGAGAATATAATTTCTATCTCAGAGGGTTGTGTAGGCTGAGAGATAATGTTTGTAAAGCACTTAACATAATATGCCCAATAAATGAAAACTTATTTTTACCAGGTGAATGAAGACTAGACAAGAACTTGCAAAAATAGTTAACATGCTAAAATTATGGATGACTTTTTAAAAAATATCAATAAATTTTTGTGGTAAAAATCTAACTGAAAAGATAGAATTAAAGAATATAAAAAATAATAAAACCATAAGAGAAGCAATAAACATTAGTATTTATATAATCTTGGAATGGAGATGGACTCTTTATACCACCAAAAGCAGAAAACATAAAAGAAAAACAGATAAGTTGTCATTACGTAGTAAACACCTACATGTTTAAAAAGGTAAGATACAAATAGCATGGCCAGGCACAGTGGCTCATGCCTGCAATCCCAACACTTTGCAAGACAGAAGCAAGAGGATCTCTTGATTTCAAAAGTTGAAGAACAGTCTGGGCAATATAACAAGACTCTTGTCTCTACTAAATAAAAATTAAGAAATTAGTAGGGCATGGTGGCACCTGCTTGTAGTCCGAGTTACCCAGGAGGCTGAGGCAGGAGGTTTGTTTGAGCCCTGGAGATTGAGGCTACAGTGAGCCGTGACTGTGACACTATACTCCAGCCTGGGAGACAGAGGCAGACCCTGTCTCAAAAAAAAAAAAAAAACAGATACAAAGTAAAGGAAATGACAAAGAAGGAAAAAATTTGCAACATATATAAAAGGACAGATTTAATAACCTTAACATATAATTTATATAATACATAATTTATATAAAATATAAGTACTTTCCGAAGTAAAAGGAAAGATGTACACCCTAATAAGGAAGAGGTCAAAGGATATGAATATGATATTTCTTTTTTAGATTTCATTTTATTTAAAAAAATAATTTTTTTTTGAGACAGGGTCTCTCTGTGTGGCCCAAGCTGGTATTGAACTCCTGGGCTCAGGCAGTCGTCCCACCTCAGCCTCCCAGAGTGCTGGGATTGCAGGTGTGAGTCACCACACCTCACCTGAACGTGGTATTTCTAAAGGAAGTGACAAGTAGCCAGCAAATCAATGAAATTCAAATTACAATGATGTACAGTTTTTCACCTGTTAAATGGGCAAAAGTGAAAGCAGTTTTAATGCTTGGTGATAATAAGGGTGGAAGGGTGTCGTGTTTGAGGAGTTTGTTGGTTGGGAGGAGCTGAATTTAGGTTACCCTTTCGTTAGGACAATTTGGCTAGGTAGATATAAAAGGCCTTAAAGGTGAACTTTTCCTTTGATCCATCAGTGCCCTTTTTTTTTTATTTCCAAAATGAAAATATTTTAATGTTTTATTTTTCTGATTATATAAATAATTCATGGTCATAAGAAATTCAAACTATAAAAAAGTTAACAAATTATGTAAAAATTACCTAAAAGTGCTACCATTAGCGATAATACTATTAGTATTTTGGGAG